TTTTTTAATAAAAAATATTTAGATTATATTTTATATATATAGATGACATATGTATTATATATAATACATATGTAAGATATTAATATATTTGAAATATTTTTAATTTTAAACATTTAAAAAACAAAATACAAAAATTATTATAAAATTCATTAAAAATTTCATTTGAAACTTATTAATTTAAATAATTCAAGTTTATATTAAATGAAATGAAAATAAAATGAAATTATGGTACTTCCATCACTGTTTTATTATATCATTGTTTCATTCTGTTACTATTTTGATATACTAATTTTTGCATATTAACATAATATATTGTATATTATTTTGTTCTTTAAAATCAATTTTTCAATCATGATCTACGATTATATTAATATTCTATATATATTAAGAGAAAATAAATATACATATATACAGAATTTCAAAATCATAAACAGCCGGATAATAATTCTGCAAAATAAAAAAAAAATAACATTTTTTTTTCAAAGTTTCATTTTCAGGTAAATTAAATTTGAAAAAATTTCAAATACAAATAAAACAATTAATTTCTTAACAAATGAATAATCAAGAAGATAACATATAAAAATAAAAAAATATAAATTTCATTTAAAAATTAAATTCGAAAATTTGTTATTTATATATATATATATAATTATATAATATATAATATTTATATTTATATTTATATAACTGTAACTAGTACATATCTTAGCTATTTATTTTGTAAATATTTAATTTTTTTCTCAAAAACATAAAAGAAGATATAAACGATTTTATTATATATTTTATTATTAAAATTTTATTATATATTTTTTTTTATTTTCATTTGTTTATGAAAAGTTACAATAATTCTTTCATATCCAATCAAGAAATTCAACTTCACATATATTTAAAAAATGTTGAAATTTAATTTATTTAAAAATAAAATTAAAATATAAAAAATTAAATGAAAAAAAAGTTATTCTATTTTTCAACTTATTTTTATATGTATATCATTATCATTATTGATGATAAATATTATCATAATTTACAAATATATATTAACAAATATTAACAAATATATATTATATATATAAATTTATGCTACGATCGCATAAATTTAATATTGATTTTTCCATGTTTGTATAATAGATCTCCTTAACAAAAAGACGACAAATTTATATCTTTTTAAATAAACAATTATCTATTTTGGAATTTTAGTGTAATCTGTAATAAGTAGTTTAATAATTTATTATTAACAAAAATTTATCTTAAACAAGTTACAGTAAATTGCAAAATATTCAGCATTCTATAATATTCAATTTACATCAAATAAATAAATCGTCATAATTTTTATAAGTGAATGATTATAAGATATTATGCATATATTTGTTAAAGTCCATGAGAGTAAATCGAAATACATTTTTTATGAATATTCTATATATGTATATCCTACACATGAAGATATA